CGCTGCTCTAATCGCGCTTGAGGCGCCGCAGCACTTCCTGACACTGCTTGAAGCGCGTCCACCATAGACTTTGCATGTAAACATGATGCTCCTGATGCTGAAATCGTGTTTGGTGTGAACGCACCAGAAGACATAGTTTGCATTTTAGCTTTAAAACAATAAAAGAAAAAGAAAAAAGAACTACTTTACCCAGGATCTGAGCTATTTCCTCCCAGAAATTTGTTGCTCGCTGAAAGTCTTTATATTCCTTCATTGACGCGTCATAAAGTTTTCTAATCTCCTCCATGAGACGCTCTTAAAGATTTGACTCCATTTCGTCCACAAATGACTCGATTCTCAGCTTTTTCAGCTTGGTGTCGCATGAAAAACAGTTTGACGTGAACTCGCCGGGCAGTTTATTGTGCGACACCACGGACGTAAAACATTGATCTCTGTGTGGACCAGTCCGGTAGACGCCGCCTCGAGTCCACCTCGAGTCCACTTTGAGTCCACATTGAGTCCACCCGAACTCCCGCAGAGTGAAGTACACCTGAGTATGTGGGGGCCTTAAGTCTCTGAGGTCACTGCACTGACCTTGGGGTGAATTTCCTGGAACAGGAAGATTGTCAGCTCATCTTCTCTGTGTAGAACGATGGACTCAAGTTGTTCAGAAATGATCTTTCCCCAGATTTCCTGCAGCCTCAGCTGCTTCTCTGAGGTCACTGCTGAAGTCTTTCCTACTTGGTGACACACACATACATGTCAACTTGTAYGGATTGTCGGTAAATTACAAGGATTTTACGTCATTTTGCAGGATTATAGAGCAATCTTACAGATTTTTTCAAAACATCATTTTCAGTTTTATCTAACATGTCAGAGCCTGTAGGATGATTTAAAAAAAACAATAAATAACATTAAATAACCATCTTCCAACCTGTTCTGCTGCTATAAGTCCTGCACTCTTTCTGCTCTCTTTCCTCCTGCTTCGCTGCAGACGCTGTCATCTCTGCAGCCGACCAACAGTGCGGGTTGTATGGATTTTTAAAGGGGCAATATTATGTGTTTCTCAGGCATTTATTTAAATACTATACCATAATAAAGTATCTATGTCACCTTTAGCTGTTATTAAAATGCTGTTTTTATGTTTAAATAGAAAATGAACTTATCTTCTCACCACTTCCTCTTCTAAACACCTTGAAATTGTCCTCTGTCCCTTTAAGAACCACCTCCCACTTCTGTCCCACCCATTTCGGTGCCGGGGGGGGGGGTGCGCCATGATGCATTTTACTTGGCATCTGAAAATACATTTCCTCAAAGGTATTTTTAATTTGAAAAGAGCTTCACTGAGTGAGAAGTAGTGGATCTCAGCAGACAGTTAGGTTTCACTTTCAGTTTCACCCGAGAGCCTTCAGGAGTCATGGGTGGGGTGTGTGGGGAGGGCGGGGTGCGCTCTGCCATGAAGAAGTTCAGCTATAAGACACGTCCCAGGGGTGTTTCTGGTCCCAAAAGGTGTTTCTGGTCCCCACCTGTCGTTTTGCTCCTCAGCATGGCTTCATAAAAACTGCAGGATTTCTCAAACATGATGAATGAGTCAGAGCAAGGCTTTGGACATGTTTTTATGAGAGTATAACTTTATAACATGATATAAAACTCAAAAAAGTAGATTTTACATGATATTGCCCCTTTAAGAAAATCTACAGATTTTTGAGGCTCTTTATACAGATAACTATCTAAAGGGGTTGACATGTGTGCACACACCTGTAGCTGCAGAAAACACCAGCTCATGTTTATCGTGTCCTATTTCAAACTCCAGAACTTTATTGTTCTCATGAGTATTTAAAAAATACACATTTTATTTCTTTAAGAAGAAGTATTTTGTTACTGCCTAAATCCCACATTCAGGAGACAATGTGCCTGATGAGGGTTTGAGGAGTGTTTCAGTAAAACACAAACATGATTTGACTTAAAGCTGACTCTGCTGCCGCCCCACAGCTCCATCTAAACAATCCAACACTGACTCACTCGTCTGCAAGAAGAGAGAGAGAAAAAGACAAGATGCCTAATTATCCTCATCAGCAGCCATCTCGCTGTAAATGAGCCTCAGGTGTGCAGCCTGTGGGGGGGTGGGGGGGGACGCAGCTGGGCTCGTTTCCCTCTGCACAAATCAGTCAAAGCTCCTGGTTGGAATTTTAAAATCTGTAATTTACTTGCAAGGCTTTGATGGCATTAAGGAAAAAATCTCTCTGGTGCAGTTGAAGACATCTTTACTTTGTGATAATAAACATTTTGTCTGAAGTTTTCTCTGAGAGAAACAAGCCAGCGTCACAAATATTCCACACTTATTCAGACTTCTGCAACTAAATGTAGATTTTATGGAGGAACTTCAGTAATACTACACTTTAATGTTCTGATCAAACCTTCAGACGTCACAATGGGAAATAAAAAAACAAACTAGGACCTGAAACAGTAAAAAAAAATCTGCAGAAAGTTCAATTTGATGTTAAATTGAACACTAAAGCTTTTATCTTTGATACAGTTCTGTCAGATTGCAGTGAGGGTGACTTTAGTGCCAAAATGATGAAGAAAACTACATTAGATGTCAGAGATCATATCTGCTGAAACACTTTCTGTAAATGGTCCACTCTGTCTGGTGCCATTTAATTTGTTAAATCCAACAGTAATAACCTGATAAAGTATGAATATTAGTCAGAAAATAAGCCCGA